AAAAAAAAAAAAAAAAGAAGAGAAATTAAATCGGTTTTTTTAAATATTCAATAATTTTTGTCTTTCCTTGCTTTTTTGGTTTCTTTTTTTTCCTTCAATATAGTTTCCATTATTAACTTTTCAATTAGATATCACATGCGTTGTTACAGCTTTCTTCTGTTTTCTTCATCGTAAATAAACACCAATTATTAGTGCTATTTTGCAAAGTATAAAAGAAAAAAGAAAAGAAGAAGAAAAAAAATACCACTATTATTATTATACGTATCAATTATTGGTAATATTTGTTTTTTTTAGTTAATAAATATAGTCTAATTTGACAATTAAAATCCCACCAAAAAATGTGAAGAAAAAAAAAAAGGCAGTGGAACGAGGAAAGTGTGCAATTGTGAAAGATGCGCCTATCAAAATAAACCACCTGTTAACATATGCAAAAATTTTAAATTCTTATTTTTTCATTTACTTATTTTGTGGTTAAATTGAGAATAAATTTTTTTTTTTACTTATTTAAACATAATCAATTTATTCAAAAACAAATTTTATATATATATATATCAATGCAGTAATTGTTTTCAACTATTTAGACCAACAAAGTTTTCTACAATCAAAACAGTAACTGACCTGCTTGGAAACGCTGTCAATAAGGCGTACATATAAATCTTGCTCAGTTCGAAGACCTGAAATGTTTAGTATTTTTTAAGCCACCGTTATTGCTTCTATACTAATTTTTCTACATTAGAATGATTAACCAACATATGCAATTGTTTGAAAAAAAAAATGAAAGAAATTAAACAAAGACAAAAGCAAAAAGGACCACAAAATATGTGATAAAAGTTGTTGCAGTAACTTAGAAATCGCATCGGTTTTCAAATCTGTAAAATTCAAAACGTTTTTCTTTTACTACTTTTTTATTATTTAACTTTTTTTTTTTTTGCTGCCGTTGTCACTGTTTTTAAAGCATAGTTTGTTCAGTTTTGTAGTTTTTAGATAACAGAAAGTCTGAACAGCACATAAAAAAGAGAAGAAAAAAAAAAGTTAAAATAGAGAAAAAACTTAAAAAACAGTAAAGAAATGTTAAGAGAATAGCACTAAAAACACCTGACAAAAACCCTTCGCTTCTTTCAATAACGTCTTCTCAACTTTTTAACA